ACTTTAGAGTTCAGCATTGCAACGCAGTGGTAAGCCAAGAAAAATAAAAAAATAAAAAAAAAAACCAACAAAAAAAGCCAAAAAAATGGGAACCATCTTCAAACTGGGAAAATCATCCCAGTGCCATCAGTGGGGGGCACTGGGGGCAAACTGCAAAATTTGCACAGCGGAGGGGTAGCAGCTTCCCGATGAGCTGGGAGACTGTCTGCAGATGGGGTGGCAGCAACAGTCGTAGGGGCTGGAGCCACGACGACCTAAGGATATAAGAGGCGAGGTCTGCAGGAACATGTAATACCTTTTAATAGACCAGCTGGTACAGTTGATGGGGAAAAAAAAACCCCAAAACCACCAACACAAAAACCCCACAACCACACAAGCCCTCCTTTGAGCTGGTGCACCTTCATGCTTGGCCGTTTTTTCCAGCTGCATCACTCGGTCTAATTAAAGACATTACCGCTGCCTGCAACCCTTGTCTCTTCCTCCAGCCAGTCCTTCCCAGGACAAGAAATCTAGGTCATTTTGATGCTCTCATTGTGATACTTGACAGCCTGCCGACATGAAATAAAGATTTTGGCCTTAACATGTGAAGTAGTTAATGTTCTGCGCACAGGGCAAAGCAAGCTTCTTGTCCTTCAAGACCAAGAGCTTAAAGCTGTCACATCAGTGCAGATGGGTGCTTGGGTGCCTGGAGGACCCACAGGAGCTTTTGGGCATCTCTGTCAATCTGCAGAGACCGCGGGAGCTCCGAAGCTGGGGCTGGTGGGATGGGATTCGGGACTACTCCAGTAAAAAAAAGAAAAAAAACCCCGGTCCCACTTCTGGCCATTGGAGAGGGGATGCCCGAGCAGGTGAGAGCAGAAGCACACCTCGTGCTCAATGCCAAAAAGCCCACGGACCACGTTTCGTGGATTCCGCAGCCTCCCACCTCCTCAGCGGGTCTGTATCCCGCGGAGCGGCCGTACCCGGCACCCCTCGGTGCCTGAGCCCCAGCCGGCGGGCACGGGAGGACCGTGGGTCCCGTTCCCACCACGGGGCACGTTAAGCTCCTGCCTGACCTTTACCGGCGGCTCGGAGGAGGTCGCCGCGTCCTGACGGCTCCGAGCAGCTGGGAACGAAGCCGCCCAGCAAGGCCAGGCTGGAAGGAAGGAAGGAAGTTATAGCAGGCTTTTAAATAGCGCTATGTAATACCTGAACCTTCTATTTCTGTGCGCGGATAATATGGTTTCTATATTCTTCTCCGTGCGCGGCAGGCCAAGCCATTTGCGCTCAAACTGAATTAGCAGCAACCCACATTCTTTACCAGTTAAACCACTAAGGCTCTGCGAGGCTACTCATAGCCACCACGAAGGACAACCACAAGCCCTACACTTCACCTAATGAAGAAACACACAGATTTCCTTCTGCGTTTGCTTCTCACTTCCATTTTACCTTTATAATCAAGCAACGTTTGTAAATGCACTGCGGATTGCAGGTGGTCTCGCAGCCCCCGCGCCACATGTAGTCACCACGTCTCCAGTGTAGCTTTCTGCAAGATGTCTCTCATCCGAGGTGGGCAACACGGTTACATCCACCCCTCCGTGCCTGAGCAGGTATCCAAAGAGCCACAGAAGCAGGAGGCTCCTCAGGCCTTTTTGGGGGTTGTAGATGGCTGTACGCTGCAGAGCCGCATCAGGTTTGCAGTCCTAATGAGAAGGGCTCGGCTGCCATTATCAAAAAATACCCTCACGCTTGGAAAAAATAAGATAGAACTCCTTCAAAATAAATATGCTTGCTTCTCCGTGTCAATTAACTAGTTAAAAAGAGTTATTTTTCTTCCTTGAGGTTTTTCCATCTCATCTGCCATACAGCAGACCTCTTATTTGGAGTCTACCAGGCAAGAAACAACCTGGACACCTTTGTTCAGAGGAGTTTTCCTCCACGCCTGGTCCACACACCCAAAGGCTCGTGAGCCCAGCTCCAGCAGCCAGCGAGGATTTCATGCTCCCATCTCCCTTTGGGCCTCCTCCTGATCTCAGCTGTTGGTGACAATATTGCCAAGGATGGTGCCCATCCACCAAGGAACACGGCGGGGCTGCCGCCTCCTTCTAACGGCTGCGAACTGGGGGTAACGTTCAAGTTTTCCCACCTCCCCAACAGGGTTGGGACAAGCAACAGGTCCTGCACGTACGAAACAACTCACTTCTCACGAGGACCCACTGTTTAAGTCAATTCGGACACTTGCTCCGGCACATTAGACCAGCCCGTTGCATTCAGACCAGCATCGCTCAACTCGCGGTGACACCCCTTGCCAGACGGAGGATTTCACCCGTGCTTCATTGAAGGTGACCACACCACGTCTTAGAGCCAGCTCCCACGGCCCGTTCGGGCTGTGCAACCCCGTCACCCTGTGGTCCCTTGCACACCGCTGTTGACATGTCCCCAACATCAACAAGGATGCTGGTGGGACATCTACAAGCAGGGAGCCACCATTTCCAAGTCAGCAAACACCAGGAAAACATACCAGGAGCCACCTCAGCCTGGGAGGGAATCGAGCTCAAATTTAGTTCAGCAAACAACGGGATTCAACCGACAAAGAGTAACGCAAGGTTAGACGATGACGCTGCTTTTCAGAAGAACTTGGTGCGATTCCATTGCCAGGCCAGTGACAAATGCCAGCCTGCAAAACGGGTGCTGAATAGGAGCGATTTAAGAAATACAGGTGGTTTTACAAAGAAGGCAGCGTTAACACCGGAGCCTAAGAGCTATTTCCTAACGGCGCCCGGTTGCAAATCTCAGCTACCCTTCCCTCCACCGCAACAGGACCGCGCGGCTCGGAGAAGCGCACGTCCTGCTCCGCAGGATGCACGGGTACGTCCATCCCACGGGAAAGCCGTACGGAGAGGCGTTTGGCGAGAAAGAGGACCTCGACAGATGCAGGTTTTGCTATTGGAGTAACGAATGCCCTGGAGGAACAGCTCAAATTTTTGGAAGGAACGTCAGGGAAAGCGCACGCAGCTCCACAAATGCGCTAAGGGACAGGCAGGAGGCTGGATGCCAAGCTCAGCTCGCAGGAGAAATCCTCGTGCCAAGCAAGGTCAATGGGATTACAGGGGCGAGCAGGGATTGCTCGCACGAGTAGAGATGGGAAGGGTCCAACCCCTGGTGTCCACCCTGGCTTACACCAAGCAAATGCCACCACGCAGACGGCCCTAAGTGACTTCGTACCCAGGAAGACTTCAAAACGCCGTTTTCCTTTCTAATTCGCCTTTTCTGCGGTCAGGAGGTAAATCACCCCCCTCTAATTACCTGACCAACCGAGGGGACGCGGCTACCTCCAAACCCACGATTTGAACGAAAACATCATGAGGCTGATAAACAATTATTAAAAATACGTTGCTCACGCCGCCTTGCCACGGGAATCGCGGCATATTTATCCCAGAGCAGCTGAATTTAGAGAGCATGCTCCCTCCCTGCCCCCCCCCCCAAACCCCCAGGGGCCTCCCCACCCCAAATGGACGAGGTTCGGCCCTTCAGCTGTGTATAAAACCAGCAGTATCGCGCCCAGGCGCACTCGGCAGCATTCCTCCCTCTCATTCCTGCGAGCTATATAAGGGAACGGGCCAATTCCAGCCTTGTCCCCCCCCATAGCCAGCCCTGGAGCAGCCCCGGGTTTGCGTTTCCTGCAGAAGGACTTAAATCCGTCCTCGGTCGAAGGCGACGTCGCGCTGGACCTTGTCATCAAATGGCAGCACAGGCAGCTGCCAAATCCTGCCGGCTCGGTGCTCTAATAGGGAACAGCTGGAGAAGGACCCTGCATTCCTCCCCGTCCCGTCAACACCGGGGGCTCTGTTCGGGATCCGGCCGCCGTCAGCCCGCAAAAATTTCCACCTATCGCAAAATTTTTCCACCTATCGCAAAATGCAACGGGGCTGCTCTCCGACACCGCTTCGACACGCACGGCTCGAAAAGCAAGAGCTCCCGGGTAACCCCCCCCCCATCCCCGCCGCAACCCCCCGGGATTTTAAATAAAAGGGATGGCTTTGCAACAAGGGGGGGGAGTTTTTGCTTTGGTTTTTTGTTGGGGTTTTTTTGGAGGGGTTGGGGAAACAGAACTATGCAACATAAAGAGAGATTTCACCCCCCGTGCTCATACTCTGTGTATCAGAAACTCTGCTTAAAGCGACTTGCAGCCCTGCGTGCATCTGCACATACGCGCTTAGGAACATACATGTTGGTAATGCACACACACCCGTAAATAAATACGTTAACACATGGCGCAATTCGCTCGGGCCATTCTCATCCTGCTCCAACTCCATTTACTTCTGCGGAGTTGAGTAACTTGTAACGGTGTATAAATAAACCCCAAATATACTTTTGTAGCCATGCACGTTTGCTGTAATGCATCCTGAACGTTCAGTAACATAAAACAGCCTACTCGTATTTTCTTAGAGCTCCACTGAAACACAAGGGGGTATTCAGAGCCGCAGGAAAAAATGTGTCCAAACAGGATCTGAATGATGAAATAGGAACGGCCACATTTAAAAAATAAAATAAAATAAAAGTAGGATAACCCAGCTGCTCAGACCTTTAGAAAAAGAACAGTTCGTCTAAGGTAGTGATGGGCTGCTTCTGCATGTTGCAGAAAGCAAAGCAAGCCACGTTGTCCAAAAGAAGCCTAGAAAATCCAGACTCTACGTGACCTGACTTACTTATTTCACAGGAAACTGCATGGAAGGAGGAAGGAGGGGGGGGAGGAAAAAAACCCCACCAATCATTCATGCTACCGTAGTTACACCACGCCATAGACTAGAGTAGTTTGCTGTGAAATAAACTGAAATAAGCGATCACCCGTTTGAAAAATAAAACGTAAGAGAAGCTGTTGATGCAGTCGAGCTGGGGAGCCCTGGCTCCCCGACCTCCCTCTTCTCTTGGGTGTTTTATCTTTTTTTTTTTAATTTTTTTTTAAATTTTGCCTGCATTAGAGCATCGTTCAAGAAGGGCTGCAGCAAAAACCAACTCACCGGGGTTGTTGGCTTCCCCTTCGAGGATGTGGAGCTCGGTGCAGTCTGCCAGGGAGTGCTCCAGGCAGAGCTGGAGGAATCGAGCTTGGGTCCGGCTGACGCGTTTCAGCAGCGAAAGCAGCGCAACAGTCTGCTCGCACTCGTTCCAGCCCTTGAACCAACCGGCCAACACGCCGACCTGGTCTCGAAACATCATGGTGAGCCGGCGGCCGGAGGAGACACCTCTGCGGGGGGAGAAAATAAATATACCGGGAAAGCCTTCCTGCCCCGACTCCGCTTCCTTCCCTGCGTTTCGGGTCAGGATTAAAAAAAAATATTAAAAATTAAAAAAAAATATTAAAAATTAAAAAAAAAAAAAATCTCCTTTGCAATAAAACCGGTGGGTTTTGTTTTGGACGCAGCTTTCGGCCTGGGTTGGGTTTTTGCTCCCTCTCTTCTGGCTTCGGTGCAGCGCTGGATTCCCTGACGGCGACACGGGAGGGAGGGAAGGAGGAGGGGAATAAAGGGAGAAGGAGGGGGGGGGGTGACCAAAATAAAAAAGAAAAACCCCAAAAAAAGGAAAAAAAAAAGAAGGAAAACCCCAGCAGCAGCAGCAGCAGCGTCAGGGCTGCCCCCAGCGAGGCTGCGGCGGGGGCTGCCTCCTCCCGGCGGGGGCCTCACACCTGGAAGAGAGAAGGGGGGGGGTGAGGGGGGGGGGGGGGGCAGGAGGAGGAGGAGGAGGAGGAGGAAGGCTCGCCCTCGGCCCTGGCATGCAGCGGGGCCGGGCACCGCAGCCCGGCTGCTCTCCTCCTCCTCCTC